AATAAAATATTGCAAAACTAACAAAAATTATGTAACATAAAGATCATTCATCAAGTATTTGATATAATCATAAAATGTTTTTTTTTAAGTAGATCAAGTTGCAAATGCGTAAAGTTAAAGTAAACAACTTGCGACATACGTAATTTTTCGTCACTACTGACAAATTGGTCGTCCTGTAGAGACGCTTTACGCAAATTATAACGCAATCTCACTCGGAATACAACTAGACAGACCGAAAGTTTGCACCATCATCTAGTTATCACATAAATGTAAACCAAAATTTTTAAAATTTCAAGGTAGAATTATTAAAATAAATATTTTTCCCTTTCATACGATTATTAGTTAAATTAAACTATAGTATACTTAATTTTTAAATTCTGATTTTTAATAAGTTCAAGCTTGACACTAATTTAAAAAAAACCCGACTGCGTCATCATCGTCCTCTCTTTTTTATTTGCAGATACATTCTAAAAATATTATATATCCTCTGTCACTCTCACAATTAAGACGAATCTAACACACCTCAGATGTTAAAATTAATCAAGTCATTTAGGCTACAGATTATGTCAAATAAATAGACATATGTACATATAAACATTCTCTGGAAGACATTACCCTGCTTTGGGGCAGTCGGGTAAAAATATGCGAAAATTGTGTCTGTTTATCACGCTGTTGTCAAAAAAAGAGTTTCGATGCGTTGTCACTCCTGAGGATGATAATGCCATCATACACTACTGAGATAGAACTCCAAGAAGCTTATGGTGTCATTTTACGCTATATTCTATACAGGCGTGCAGTTGCAGCGCGGCTCTACCCTGCAAAGGAGCACATGGAAGACATCTTGCAATTCCTTAATGTATTTTTGTAGTTAATTAATCTGAACAATGCCTCTGAGTACTTTCCGTGGTATTTGCATTAGAAAGTGAAAAGAGATGCCCATCAGAAAGAACTAGATCGTCGAGGATTCGGGCCGCTCTTCGCAAGACGTGGTCAAGTATTCCATGTTAAGCCAAACCTGAGCGTTTTAAGGATACACGCGGTGTGCCGGCATAAAATAATGTCCCTCTCTGCTGAGCACGCCAAGCTTTTTAGAAACCAATTTGGCCTTCCCTTTCCAGTGACTGCGGAACTGAACTCGATTTGATATGTCAATCATGAGGATTTCGATGCTGGCTGAGACAACAAAGGGAGTGCTTTTAAATTAAGGAGATACAACAAAGGAGTCGTCACTGTCACCAGTGACCCGCAACAGTCATGACCTCTTTGTTGTTTGTTTGTTGTATCTGTTGTGATGACATATGGATCTGAGACGTGTTCCATCACTGCTGGCCGTATGAGGAGGCTCAAATACTTAGAAATACGGATATCCGCAACAGAACCGTAGTTTCTGACAAAGCCCAACGAATTAGTAAGCTGAAGTGGCAATGTGCCGACCATATAACTTGAAGAACCTACAACCAATGGGGAAGAAAGGTTCTCAAGTGGCAACTTCGTAGCGATAAGCGAAGTGTAGGGCAGCCCCCCACTAGATGAAGTGACGACCGAATATGCAGGAAGTCGATGGATGCAAGTAGCTCAGGAACGTGCTTTGTGGCTTTCCTTGGGGAAGGCATATGTTCAACAGTGGACTTGTAAAGGCTGCAATCTTGATTATTAATTATGAACAAAGCGGTTCTTTATTTGCGGTACACGAGCAACTCTATGGGAATTGGACTTTTAGTCGCAATGGTAAAAAAATATTCCTAGTTTGGTCTTCGATTAAGAAATATTACATCACTTGCTTGCAACAAATATACTGTTCAATGTATCGTGAGAAACATTTCCATGCTAAATTACAATACTACGTTACTTTTATATCACAAAACATTTCCAAAAGCAAGGGTTCTTGCAAAAATAGCCATTATTTCTATTCTAATTAGATGCACTTTGTAATACACTTTGCTTGCTTACTTTGCTCAGGGGTACGCCCGCCGTTAATTTTATGGTACGCAAGGAACCTTTTTACGTAGTAGAGCCATGCTGGAACTGTATTACTAGTAGGTATAGTTGTAGCACGAATGGGTCGACTCGACCGGAGAAGGACTACGCTCTCACAGAATACCAGCGTAAAATAGCAGCTTAACACTGCTGTGTTTCATATGGTGAGTGTAGAGAACCGGAGACCCTTTTTACTGGAAACGAGCCATTCTATTTAGTCCTAGAGGATATATGTAGTTGTCTATGGGCCACAGCAACCACTTACCATCAGGTGGACTGCGTGGTCGTTTGTTACTCTTATCGTATAAAAAAAACCTGGGTTCGATCCTCGCTATCACCGATAAAGTTGTTAATGCAATAAATATATATATATATAAATAAAATATATCTATACATCTATACAAATAAATAAAATTGAAGTGTCTGTTTGTAATGTCAAAATTACAGTTTTTTTACTAAATGCATATGAAAGTAAATACGGTACTAACAACTAAAATACAATTTTTTAAATTTTTGTCTGTCTGTCTGTCTGTCTGTTTGTTCCGGGTAATCTCCGAAACGGCTGGACCGATTTTGACGGGACTTTCACTGGCAGATAGCTGTTTTTACAAGAAGTAACTTAGGCTACTTTTATTTTAGAACAAGAATTAGGGTTCCGCGCAAAAACTTAAAAAGCCTAACACGCTACCGAAGTCGCGGGGAACAGCTAGTATAATATAAATAATGAGTTTTAACTTATGAAGATATAATAAGAAGTCTGCCAAGACGCGCTTGAGTAGTACGGCTGATAAATCACCGCATCTTCCTCTCACAAATCAGAGAAGGCTTTCGCACAGTAATAGAACTTTTTTTATATAAAACAAAAAATTCAAAATAAATATAGTTTTGCAAAGTACTCAAGTTTAAAAAAGTTGGTACATACTGAGTAAAATGAAAAGGAAGTAATCTGCGAAAGATACCAAAGTGGGGATCGAATTCTGTTTGCTTTCATGCTAGCGCCTTATCCACTGAGCTACGACGGCTCAAATACATCAGTAAATCTATATCTATACAAATAAATAAAATTGAAGTGTCTGTTTGTAATGTCAAAATTACAGTTTTTTACTAAATGCATATGAAAGTAAATACGGTACTAACAACTAAAATACAATTTTTAAAATTTTTGTCTGTCTGTCTGTCTGTCTGTCTGTTTGTTCCAGCTAATCTCCGAAACGGCTGAACCGATTTTGACGGGACTTTCACTGGTAGATAGCTGATTTCATAAGGAGTAACTTAAGCTACTTTTATTTAAAAAAAAGAATTAGGGTTCCGCGCAAAAACTTAAAAACCCTAACACGCGGGCGAAGTCGCGGGGAACAGCTAGTTAAAACTAAGGTTGCGGCCTATTTACGTCCCACTGCTAGGCACATGCCTTCTCACTTTTATTAAAGAGAGTATTTGGAATAGTATAGAATAGAATTATTTCTATTCAATATTAGCTGGTACCGCGGTGTATTGGTGCCGCAAAAGAAATAATTGTTGAAATATCGTTTTAAATTTTGAAAAGTTATATTGTTTAATTAGGAATGCGCGCCACCTACTGTAAGTTAATTGTACTACGCCTATAACCTTCGCGCGAGTGCAAGCAATAAGCTGACAAAGTTTTACCGCAATCCGATGAACGGTATGATACGGTACAATACGAACAAACAAATACAAATTTTTATATATTAGATAGTTTACAAGACTGCTTCGGAACAAACCTCTGTCCTAGAAGAACCACCAAGAAACCCAGCGGGACTTTTTTTAAATAAAATCTATATAAGTACAATATCTTATTTTATACAATTGGTATAAAGACTTTAGAAACAGCATAGTAGCGATCACCTCATTCCCAGGGGTTATTATCAATCGTGTGCTCTTTAGTAGTATAGTTAATAAACCTTACTAGACAAATTTTGCTTAGTAAATATTTTAAGCTTTCTGATAAATAAGGCCTATATACTTATTATAAGCCAAAGCTTCTTAGCTATCTTATTTCTACACCAACAAAAGGACTTTTTTTCTATATGTATAAATAAAATTGAAGTGTTTGTTTGTAATATTGAAATAACTGGCTTCTATTAAGCTTAGGGGTTATTTTAATGTTTAATAACATTAAAATAACCCCTAAGCTTAATAGAAGATATAAAATAGATAAAGATAGATATAAAAAATCACTTTAAACAACCAACCAAAAATGTGTTGTCTGTGTGTCTCTGTCTGTCCGAGCTAATCTTCGGAATGGCTAAATCAATTGTGCCAGGAGGGATCTAGGCTATATTTTATCCCAAGACGTTGAAGATTTTTTTTGATAATATATTTATTTGATAATATATTTTTATGATAATATATTTTTGATAACATATTTTTTTGTAATATATTTTTTGATATATTTTTTGATAATATATTTTTCTTGATTATCTATACTATATAATATAATAAAGCGGAAGAGTTTTTTTTTTTGTTTTTTTGTTTGTTTAAACGCGCTAATCTCAGGAACTACCAGTCCGATTTGAAAAATTCTTTTTTTATATTATAGCCAGATTCATGTAGAATAGTATAGGCTATCTAGAATTAAGCTATATTACTCAGCTAGCCTTAAATATGGATATTTGTTAAGCAAGTCAGAAGAAAAAGCACTCCCGAAATGATTTATCCGCGTACGCTGGTGTTATCGTTATGTATACGTAAATACAATGTTCTAGAAAAATATAGACCTTTACTCCGTTTAAAAAAAAGTCCGCGATACCATATGTCTATTTCTTATACATAAGCCATAATTTGGTATTTTGTGACAAAAAAAATATTGAAAATTTAAAAGTGATTTATGAGCGTTATTATTAGGCATGGCCTATTTATCCTTACGGACGAAAGTTACTTCATCATTAAGACAATTTTATGAAGATAAACTTTGTTCTTTATACCATGTTATTTGGACGCATAGTTTAAGAGATAATGTAAAATTAAAATAATTCAATACTTGGCTGGGCGCGCGAACGACGCTTAAACCCTAGCCGTTATAAAATGCTTGAACTAGGTCATGTCGCGCACCTCGGACACGTGATGACGCGGGGAAACCGCGGGGCACAGCTAATTATTTATAGATCCTGTCCAGACGAAGTCAGGGAGGTCGCTGGTAAAATAATAAAGGGAAATCCAACACCTATACACTGTTCACCTTACAATCCCAGCCAATTTAAAAACCAATACCGTTACAACCTTATTAAAGTCCACTGCTGAACATAGGCCTCCCCCATAGATTGCCTCATATGTTATGCCATAGAAGTCACGCTTGGCAACCGCAGTTTTTTTTTTTACGACGCCCACGGGATGATATGGGGAAGTGGATATTGTTACACCGCCGGTACACGGTAATATTAAATACATAATATAATAAATAACTAAGAAAACCGATAATATTAAGCTATTATAATAATCACTACTCCATATCCTTTCCCTTTGAAATGTTGAGAAACCGAAAACCAAAATGATATTCAGATTATCGTGATTATCTCAATATACCGGTTCCTAACGTAAGGATATTTCCACTGTTGCAATTTAATTTATATCCGCTCAAGTAGATACTTACACGCAAAAAGTTGCACGTATACGTATGTACAAAGTAACGTGGGTTTCAGCCATATTAGAAAAAAATTGACATCGATGGTCTCAGATTAACAAATCGATGTCTCAAAATATCTATTCTTCGTGCTGAAATCGACAATCTTTAAAATTTTATATTAAGTAATTCATTGATTTACTGTATTAAAAATCCATAATAAACATTTGCCGTAGTTTCCATGTTTGGCAGATGGATTGGCAACCGTTCTTTTTTATTATTTTGATTTGATATCCGGAAAATATTGCTGTTTAAGTAAGTAGATATAATAGTTAATTATAATTTAGATAGGAAAAAGGTTTTGAGTTTAGTTTTAACGTTTTGTTGTGATATTTTTTCGCGTACATCGAAAGGTATGTAAGTTATTTATTAAATGCGATGCCCGATAAGCGGCCGTCCGCTGCCCGTACACATTATTAGCAGTGATGAGCCGTAGCCGGTTTTGTGTCATAGCGCGCGTACGTACAGGTTGTTCTATGTATGTATGTATAATATAAAGTATACTAGCTGACCAGGCAGACGTTGTTCTACCCTTTTCGACGACCCTTCATATAAAAAATCCTTAAATTCGTAATAAAAAAAATATTGAGTGTCACTTATCAGGATAAAAACTATCCTATCCCTCAAGTTGGACCAAACTGCACACATTGTGAAACATTTCATTGCAATCAGTTCAGTAGGTTAGGAGTTCATCGCGGACAAACAACGTGACACGTAATTTATATATATAAAGATTATCGCAAAAGAAATATTGTTTTAATAACATGAATTTATGACCAACATAAAGTGGTAAGATTTTACAATGTTTAAAAATCGCATTTTCACATTTAGGACACGCATATCTGGGGATACAATATTTTCAAGAATTCTAAATTGAAGATCATAGATCTGTTTTAAATATGATTTGTACATCCGACCATAGCTTGACAAGCCATACTGAATATAAAATTCAGTCAGAGAGTTAGTAAAGCATAAGTGTCACTTTGAAGGGTATGCGATTTTTTAAGATTTTTATATTGACTACAAACTGACGAAACTTATTACACACAAACATGTTCTATGTGGTAGCTCCAGTTAAACTTTGAGTCAACTCAATTATAAGACCGAGGTATTTTTGTGTGGCCACAACTTCGATTGTAGGAGATTGGCAAGTTCTTAGATAATAGAGATAGAGTTTTGGAGTAGGTAGTGTACTACTTTGCAATAGAAATACATAAGAGTGTATGTGTACTCAATACATATTCCAAGGAAAAAATATAGCTTTAATATTTGGTTCTGTAATAAATTTTGCCTTTTCTAAAAAAAATAGCAATTATTTTAAGGTGTAAATTACAGATAGGTTATCAGTCTGCTAACAGACCACAGCTGATTTTTTAAAATGAAAACTTCTATAGAATTGTTGTTATTTGAAACTCAATAAAACGAAACAGCGACACTAAAAATAGACAAACATATACCATCATGAGATAGAATACAGTGTACAGGGTTTCCTGTTATCTCGGATTCCTTGGGTGCTTTTATATAAATTATATTTTTAACTGTTAAAATAAACAGTTCAAAAATTAATAAATTTATTAAATAAATTAATTTAACCATATTGAATAAAATTAGCATATTCAATCCATTTAAAACAATCCACGTTTTCATAATTTACCGGTTTATATTAAATTCGTATCAATTTCTGGAAGTTTAGTTTTCTGAAGGTTTCACTTTTACCGCGTGTCAACTTTTTTTTTTTTGCTTTAAGTCCTTTTACGAGCAAGGTACAAAACAGGTCTGCGAACAGCAACCTGAGAATTGTGGCCAAACGATTCCCATTAACCTTTATGGAAGAGGACTGTGCGAACTGAATACGCTAGATAGCTGGTGAGATTAAGTAACATGTTTTTATTTGTTTTTATTATTTGTACCAAGATATTTTATAATATTGTTAACTTGTGCTAATTTTGTATGGATTAGACTAGATCTAAAAATAAACAATTTTTATTATTCACTGAGTTACCCACTCCCCTTCGCTATTCGAGTTATTTTTAAAATGCAATAAAATCCTTCAGATATTTTTCTCGAATGAAATCTTCCAGAGTTTCCTTAGTTCGCTCTGAAAACACGTACAGGATGAAATGTTATGTTAATCTCTTACGCAGTAAACAGCAAAATTGTAATAAACAGTTTGCTATTATTAAACGGGCAGGCGCTATAATTAATTACGAAGAACCGTTTTAATTTTTAAGGTTCCGTACTTCAAAAGGAAAAACTTAACCCTTATTGGATCACTTTCTTGTCTGTCTATCTGTCTGTTTTTTTTTATATAGGAGAGAGGGCAAGCGAGCATGCGGCTCACCTGATGGTGACTACCGCCGCCCATGAACAGCTGCAACACCAGGGAGGGAATCGCAGATGCGTTGCCGGCCTTTTAAAAAGGAGTACGCTCTTTTCTTGGAGGTCCCTAAGTCGTATCGGTCTGGAAAAATCGCTGATGGTAATCGATTCCTCAAGGAAGTCGTGCGAGGAAGAAAACATCTTCTAAATCGCACAGTGGTGGACCGCCAATCATCCGGATGGTGTGGATGGTATCGGGAGTTCTGCCGCGATGTGCGACGAAATTTGGCGGCTGGGATTAATCCGAACAATTCCTCAGAGCACGCCCCGTGGTAGATGCGAAAGAAAATGCAAAGGGATGCAACATCTCTTCGCAGTGCCAATGAATCGAGCCGATCGGAAAGGACTCGGTCGTCGACGATTCGAGCCGCTCTGCGCTGGATGCGGTCAAGTGAAAGGAGCTGGCACTGGGGAGCCCCTGCCCAGAGATTGGAGCAGTATTCCATGTGAGGCCGAACCTGCGCCTTGTAAAGTTGCAGGCGATGTGCCGGAATGAAATACTGTCCCGCTCTGCTGAACACGCCAAGCTTTTTAGAGGCCAATTTGGCCTTCTCTTCCAAGTGACCACCACCAAGTGACGTGGATGTCCTCATTGTTTTATTTTCAGCAAAATTAAAATTTATTTAATGAATAACGTTTAATTTTATCAAATGATTAAAAATCCAGCCATCAGCCACGTAGGATTATTAAATTCTGTAAACCGACGTTTAATTATCGAAACTAACACTTGTTTAACTGACAAAATTATTCGTTGCAATAAAATAAGTTTACAGTATATAGAACTTGTAACGTACCTATAGCCCAGTCATAAAAAATTTACAACATTCAAAAAATTGCTATCTCTCATCAACTGTTCATCTATTACGACTGATGATGAAAAATGAATTTTATATACATTAAGCGTCTAATGATGCTAAGAGAATACTCTAACGCGCGGTAACTATGGCAAATATAACCTCTATGAAGTAAAAATATAACCTCTGTGAAGTAACCTATGGGGTGGTCTATATTCATCAACTCCACAGAATCAGTAAATAGATTTATGGGGCAATCTATACACTTTTACAACAAAATCTCAGAAAATGTACAAAATTTATCAAAAACAAGTTTAAATGTTTTATTAAAGAAAAATTTTACAAAAAGGGTCATTATAATATCAAAGAAGACATAAGTGAAAAAACCCCTGGAATGAGGTTATCGGCACCATGCTGGTTCTCAAACAAAATTATTGTAAAGTGGTATATCAAAAAAAGTCCCGCTGGTTTTCTTGCTGGTACTTACCGAATGGTAAATAAAAAAATGACTTTCAATAAGTATTATGTAATAATCTTTATTGACTAAAAAATATTCTACTCTAAAACTAGACTTTTGATAGGATTCTGTATTGCAACGAATCAATGATCTGCACAATATTAATCCATAAACAGTCTATTTAGCTATTCCACAGAACAAGCATGGGCAGCAGACAATTTTATCCCCGCGGAAAGGAGAAAATGTTTACCCCTCGCTTAGTTTTATCCACCTTTCGTGCATGGGCACACCGGTGGATATTATATCAACATTAGATAAAATGGGAGATAGACTTAGATAGATTTTTTGTATGAATATAAACTTAAACCTACGTCCAATGAACTAGGATAAAATTGTGCCTTTCAAATGTCAAAAAAGTATAATTTTTATCTTTCATTTGGCTCCATGCTACGGACGGGGGATATATGTCTACTCGTTATGTCAAACGGAGATATACTTCTCCCCGTTGCCGTGCTTTGGCATAAGGACAAGATAATTGTATCTCTTGTCAGTGGATATAATCGGAGGATAAATTTTTTGTTCCCAGCCCATGCTAGCTGTGCAGATTGTAGCTTGCGGCACAAATGGATTGGCTCAGTAGGGAAACAGATATGTTCTCACAGAACAAAAGTGACACTACATGTAGGTATATTGATTCAATTAAGTTTTCCTTTCTAAATTTATGAATTATTGAATAACTTTTTTGCTAATGAACTAGTTACATTAGAGATGGACATATTAATTAATAAAAAAGGCATGTTAATATAAAAAAACGTATGTGCGTACTTATGTACGCACGTAAGATGTTATACTTCTTTAACGTAACAAAACAAAAATAAAACACGTTTTATAGATTCATATTTGAATAACTACCTTGAATATACGAGGGTGGATTGAAAAGTACTCGGCCTAACCAAGAAAATAAACACATACTAAATCAGTTATATTTTTATTTTTCTACATAATCACCATCAAGTTCAATACACTTTTGCCACCTCCCCTTCCAAGCATTTAGACCGTTGAAAAAAAATGATTCTTCCTTAGAGTCAAAATATGCGTCTACAGCTGCTTTGACCTCGTCGTTTGTCGAAAATCTTTGACCTCCCAAGTGCTTTTTTAGGTTAGGGAACAGAAAGAAGTCTGATGGTGCCAGATCAGGTGAATACGGCGGATGCGGTAACAGTTCAAAGCCACAGTTGTGAATTTCAGCCATTGACTGTACTGACGTGTGAACACGGGCGTTATCTTGATGAAACAGGACTTTTCTTCTGAGCATTCCTCGACGTTTTTCTTTTATTTCCTCTCGTAAACGACGTAGTAAGGTGCAGTAGTAATCAGAGTTTATATTCTGACCCCTTTCAAGATAATCAATCATAATCACACCTTTCGAGTCCCAGAATACTGAAGCCATCACCTTATTTGCCGACAAAATCGATTTAGCCTTTTTAGGGGGTGGTGAACCAGGTCTTCTCCACTGTTTTGATTGTTGTTTTGTTTCCGGTGTACAGTAATGAACCCATGTTTCGTCCATAGTAACAAAACGATACAAAAAATCATCTGCATCGGCTTCAAATAACTCCAAACAGTCGCGTGAAATAGTCAATCGCGTCCTTTTTTGTTCAACTGAAAGCAGTCGCGGAACCCACCTTGCAGACACCTTGTGGAAACCCAAGTCGTTGACAATGATGTTTTGAGTTCGTTCATAAGAGATGCCTATAATCTCGGCTATCTTTCTAATTTTTAATCTGCGGTCTCCCATTATTAAATCAAGTACTTTTTTAATATTTTCGTCAGTAGTTGACGTCGAAGGCCTTCCAGAGCGGGGTTCATCTTTCACACTCTCTCTACCACGCTTAAATTCTGCTATCCATTTTTTGACGGATGAATATGACAGAGCACAATCGCCTAATGTACTGACCATGTCATCATGGATGGCTTTTGATGATAGCCCCTTCTTATGGAGGTACTTAATGACGGCACGCTGCTCGATTTGTTCCATTCGCGGAAATTATGTCCGATTACTTTGTTAATAAATTTATAAAATCACAACTAATTATCGCACACGTTTCGAACTTCACACAATGAACTAGTCTGAACTGAACTAAATAATGTGTATAGATTTGATTTTTAGAATTGAATGGATCTGTGTTAGGCCGAGTACTTTTCAATCCACCCTCGTAGTTATCAGTTCTCACGAAAACTTGACAGTTGACAGAGAATTACCAACTGAAGTTGTCGCTTTTAGATTTCGGTGTGCGCGCGCATCGTAAAAACTTCACGATGTCGTTTTTAGGTGTCGGTGTGGGCACGCATATAGTGTTCTGTGGCACGCATCCTTAAAAAAATCACTCATCATAATTCTGAAAGGCGCCAAAAGAAGTATAACTTCAAAAATGTCATTGTTTTACTAATTACTAGTTACTACTTTACTAAGTACTAACTACTAGTTGAGACTTTATTATTAAGTTGTACTTACTTCACAAATTGTTAATTAGTGCTATTATTATTATTAGATTAACATAATATTATCTTATTGACGTGTTATCCTTATAATGACATTGTAAAAGCTATGAATTAATAATTGTGCTGTTTCTACGCCGATACCGGTAAAACATGTAAATGATCCTAAAAGTATAATGCAACAACTTATTACAATAATTTATTTATTAATTTCAGAGACATGACCATATCTCTGAAATAAATAAATAAATAAATACGAGCGTAAAATTTGCAGCAGCTAATTGCTGCAGTGTATATGGTAAGTATACACAACCGCAGACCTCATTTTTCTGGTAATTAACATGTTTATAACGGCATAAATAACGCTCAGCGATAATTACAATCTACGCAAACATTTTAAAAGGCTATGCGAAATATTTTTACCTACAATTTAAATTTGTCGAATTTTTAACCGACTTCAAAACAGGAGGTATCTAATTCGACTGGTTTTTTTTTTGGTGTATGTTACCTCAGAACTTTATTCCAGGTGAACCGATTTTGATGATTGTTTTTTTATTAGAAAAGTGATGCTCTCATGTGGTCCCATATAAATTTGATGAAGATCTAAGCAGTACTTTTTGAGTTATCCTTAACAATGTGTTTGACTTTGATTATCTTGTTGAAGTTCTCATCATATTTATTTATATTGAAGTCGCTTGTACAATTTTTTTAATTTTACCACTTGTTCAACGCCAACCTAAATTCGCCAACAAAA